CTAGAGAGTTGAGTTGAGGTGAGAAAGCCTCTGTGGTTACTGGTTTCATGATATTAACGAGTACATGTTTGGAGTTGATACATGGTACAGAGGGAACATACTAATAATGAACTCATGATAACATCTTTTGAGAATATTTTGATACAGACAAGTTCCATTCCTTGTCTTGTATGTAATGATCATGAATGGATGGTGGCAGCATTTCGTCTTCTACTATCTACTTTTCTACTTCTATCTACTCTTCTACTTCTACCTATCTACACCTCTCCCTCCACCCCCTCTCTAAACTCTCACTTTCAACTAATGACCCTCCTCGCTCCTCCCACCTCTCTGCCTCTCACCCCAAACCCTCACTAATTACTTCACTATTCATTTCTTTCCTTTCGTTTTCTCTTATACGTTTGTGGCAATGATTCTGTATTCTAGAGTTCTCTCTAGAGTTTCGGGTAACTGATCCAGTTACGACGCCTTGTAGTCTTAGCACCTAGGTAGTCAAATACCTAGGTTACAAGGTGTTGAACGAGAGAGGCTGCCTTAGGAACTCTGGAGGGTGCTCTAGAATAGTTAGCTAACTGGGGACGGGATAACGGACTAGAGAGAGCTGTTTTCCCCGGCTTCGTTAGTTAACTGGGGGGTGGAATAATGGACAAGATAGAGCTATTACCCCCCACCCCCCGTTACAGAATGAGGTTACCCTATCTATCTTGAGGTTATCTTGAGATAATTTCGAGGCTTTTTAGTGAAAAAAACAACCACTATGTTGAGTAACTGTGACAATCCACTATGCTGCTCAACCACTATGTTGTGGGGCCTGGTAGCCTGATGGATAGCGTGCAGGACTCGTAATTCTGTGGCGCGGGTTCGATTCCCGCACCAGGCAGAAACAAATGGGCAAAGTTTCTTTCACCCTGAATGCCCCTGTTACCTAACAGTAAATAGGTACATGGGAGTTAGTCAGCTGTCACGGGCTGCTTCCTGGGGTGTGTGTATGTATGTGTGGAAAAAAAAGTAGTTAGTAAACAGTTGATTGACAGTTGGTAGGCGGGCCGAAAGACCAAAGCTCAACCCCTTGCAAGCACAACTAGATGAATACTATGACAGAATCACAAAAGCCTTAGAGGAAAAGCTAAATGCAGATGCTGTATACACAGATTTTGTAAAGGCGTTCGACAAATGTGACCATGGGGTGATAGCCCATATAATGAGACCAATAGGAATAACGGGTAAAGTGGGGCGTTGGATTTTCAACTTTCTAAAACAGAATGCAGAGAGTGACGGTCAATCAAATAAGATCAAGCCCAAGCACAGTAAAAAGTTCTGTACCTCAGGGCTCAGTCTTTGCACCACTGCTATTTCTCATTCTTATCTCTGATTTAGACAAAAATACTAGTCACAGCTTCGTGTCATCCTTTGCAGATTATACAAAAATCAGCATAAAAATTGCCACCATAAAAGTCACTGCAAACTGCAGACAGATATAAATAAAGTATTCGATTGGGCAACAGAAAATAACATGATGTTTAACTGTGATAAGTTCCAGGGGCCAGATTCACGAAAGCACTTACAAACGTATATATCTTTCCTCAATCATTGACGACTTTGGTTACATTTATTAAACAGTTTACAAGCATGAAAACTTCCCATTCAACTGTTGTTATTGTTATAAACAGCCTCCTGGTGCTTCGGAGCTCATTAACTGTTTAATAATTGGAAACAAAGCCGCCAAAGATTGAGAAAAGATGTACAGGATCGTAAGTGCTTTCGTGAATCTGGCCCCAGGTACTGAGGTCTGGTGTAAGCGAGGAACTTCAACGAACTACAGGGTTCACGACACAATCAGACCCACTCGTAGAAGGAAAGTAACAGGTAAAAATACCCGGGAATTATGATGTCTGAAAACCTGACATTTGGTTTACTAAATTTACTCTAGGCCGACGGGGAGCCGGTCGGCCGAGCGGACAGGACCCTGGACTTGTGATCCTGTGGTCCCGGGTTCGAGCCCGGGCGCCGGCGAGAAACAATGGGCAGAGTTTCTTTCTCCCTATGCCCCTGTTACCTAGCAGTAAAATAGGTACCTGGGTGTTAACAGCTGTCACGGGCTGCTTCCTGTTGGTGGAGGCCTGGTCGAGGACCGGGCCGCGGGGACACTAAAACCCCGAAATCATCTCAAGATAACCTCAAGATAACCTCCATCCTGTATTCCTATTCTTCATCCATCCGCCATCCATTGGTTCCTCCATCGTTTTATCCTCCTAGCTCCTTCTCCATTATCCTTACGTAGTCTCCTACATCGTTTTCTCACCGTCTATTCTTCCTCAGTTTTCATCCTCTCCTCGGCCTCTTTCTCCTTCTCTCTCAATCTGTCCCATCCCATAACACCCCGTCCTCGCCCCGTCATCCCAGACCCTCTCGCTGGGGGGGGGGGGGGAGACGTGCTGTGTTTGGGAATTAAAGGGCTCCTACCATCCAGAGGACGACCATGATGCTGTGGAGGGGGGGCGTCGAGGGGTAGGAGAGAGAGAGAGAGAGAGAGAGAGAGAGAGAGAGAGAGAGAGAGAGAGAGAGAGAGAGAGAGAGAGAGAGAGAGAGAGAGAGAGAGAGAGAGAGAGAGGAGTGAACTACAGGTGTGACAGGGAGAGGGGGGGGGGGTGAAGGACAGGTAGCACTCCTACCGTAGACATTGACAGGGAGGCACAGGCTACAGGGGTGGGGTCACCCTGTACACCACACATCTGCACTCAGCTGCTCTGCACCACAAACAATATGGTGGAAGTGCTGATTATCAAAATAGAGATCCTAAATGTAGTTATTGTCTTTGTCACCAAAGGCATTGTCCCTCATCAGTTAGACCAACTTCATTATCCTCATTAGACCAACTCATGAAATAGAACACTGTTTAGAAAACCTCACAAACCCCAGACATCATTTTGCTTGTGGACTTCAACCTACGGCTCCTGAAATGGAAGAATGTAGCAAATAATTACAAATAATTATATCCAAGAGAATCCCTGGAAATAGTCTAAATGAACAGTCACGCACAAGTTCCTCTTACAAATGTGTGACAGATTTGTCTTAAACCAATAAATAGTAGAAACAACTAGAACAGAAAAGACTGGACATTTTCATAAATAATGATGAATTGATTAAGAACATAAAACTACAAATACATGCTACTCAGGTCACAGCCTTATTGAAGCTCACAGCAGTATATAAAATAGACCAGGGCAGCCAGTCCCAAATCGAATAGGAGTTGAATTCTGCATATTCAGTTTTAATAATAAACTGAACTGATTTATCAGTTCTGGGGAACTGATAAATTGCGACTGTAAGAAAAAGGACAGATGTCAGACTAGTGAGGTTTTTAAGTGCTCTCTATTATGGAATATTATTGCACAATAACAGCCCCATTTAAAGCTGGAGAAATCGCCGACCTTGAGAACATGGAGAACTTTGCCTAAAGAGGGTAGGCATAGTAGCACTAGAGATATGTTCAAATCACTAAGATAAGTGATGAACATAGAGATATGTTCATCACTAAGAAGAAAAGATAAACATTTGCAAATTGGAACGAGAGACACGTTTTCTCTCTAGGGTAAGAAAATAGGCAGCCACTGGAGCGCCCCACTCCCCCACTCCCCCAGAACGACATGGTTTAGAGAGAGAGAACCAGTCAAGCTAAGACTAAGAGATTATAAAACCTGGAGAGACGCGAGAGCAAAAGGCCATCAGTGAAATCGAGAGGATCCCGAAATACTCCTCCCTCCTATTTGTTTGTTCTAGATGTAGATCAACCAATACATCTAGTATTGGGCCCTTGAACATGAGAGAAGGAACTTCCACAGATGACTTTATAAGACATGAGCGAAATACTGAGCGGTACAGTGCGATTCTGTTTTCAGTGAACCTTTCAACGCACTGAAGATGGATAACCCAAATAATTTCATGAATTTGATACCTGGAACATACCTGAAGAGGGTCTCGGGAGTTCTACTCCCCGAGCCCGGCCTGAGACCAGGCTTGACTAGCGATAACTTGGTCCAACAGACTGTTGATATGAGCGCCCCGCAGGCCCACATATGCACTACACCCAAGTTGGTCCGGCACTGATTGGAACCCACATCGAATCATATATCAAATGTCATTCTAATCCCACATGACATTGAAATGGGCCATAGCTTGCGTTACCTGGCATTGATTTCGGGGGTGCAGGCCTCAGACAGTTTCCCCATACAGTCAGCACCAGCTCCAGATTCCTAGGCCTGGAATAATCATGGTATATTTATGGGCCTCTGTTCGTCAAGAATGACATAAAAATCACTACCGCTGTCCCCGGACATCATTTAGAGACGGAGTGTGGACACCGGAGTTATCCGTGATGTGCTGGAAACAGCTCAGAGCGGCGCCACTTCTCAAAGGAGGAAGAAAGTGTAAATATGAGGACGTTGTATCGCCCGGCTGTTTGTGACGTGAGTCAGTATGTGAACACCTTGTACTGAACGGCCGATAACATCTTGAGCTGCCACATACCTGTGTGTGTGTGTATATCTCAATAAGCTTCTTTAGATATTAATCTGTCATGGTCGTGTCAGCCTTAACTGGCAGTGATTAACACCCTAAAACCATGAACCAGTGCCTCAAGTGCCCATAAGTAACGCGGTAAAACGGCGACTCAGTTGTTTAAGTTCAGAAGACTAACAAGTTTAAACGGTGAGTCAGCCAGCTGCATGTAATGAGGCCTTACAGAGGTGAGTCAACCACAGTACTCACACGCCACGGATTTACCCACTGACGGGGATGATTCACTTCGTTCAAGTGCTCGACAATTCATCCATTTATGCATGATTACCTTTATAGTATGTGTTGAAGGGGACGCAGAAGAACCGGAGTTGAGAGAGAGAGAGAGAGAGAGAGAGAGAGAGAGAGAGGAGAGAGAGAGAGAGAGAGAGGGGGGGGGAGGGTAGGGGAAGAAGACACTGCCCACCTGTCTTTGGGCTGGCTACCTGTTCCTCCCTACCGGCGGCGGCGGCGGCGGCGGCGGCGGCGGCGCCACAGCACAGCGCGGTCTCTGGCAAAGGGAAACAAACAAAACAAGGACCCAAAACCTGTCTATGTTACAAATGGGGGTACCTGGTAACCTCAGGGTAATCATCTCGGTCAAATGCTGGAGAGGCCACAAACACAGTGGCCTCCCTACCAGAGCCTCAGATATAAAGCGTCCACCACTTCCACAAACACGATAACATCATTTATATTTGCCATCATCCACGGTATAAAAACACGCAGTCTAACAAAGTTCATTTTATAGATGGCCTCTTACATGAGACAAATGCAGTGTTTGCAGCCCTAACGGAAACCCACACAAAGGACTACCATGATGGTGAAATATGGATCTCAGAGTACAGTCTTTTCAGATGTGACAGGAAACACCGGCTACAGGGTGGGGTCAGCCTCTACATCAAAGACACACTCATCTGTACTGAGCTGCAAAACATCACAAACAATATGGTGGAAGTGCTGACAATAAAAATAGAGATCTTAAAAGTATTTATTGTCCTTGTATATAAGTCACCGGAGACAAATCCTCAGCAGTTTAAAGACCAACTAATGCAAATAGAATACTGGAAAACCTCACAAATCCAGCCTCGAGCATCATCCTGTTTGGGGACTTCAACCTACGGCACCTGAAATGGAAGCACCTGGCTAATACAGTAATATCAGAAAGAATACCAGGAAGTAGCCTAAATGAATAGGCACATGCTAATGACCTGCTACGGATGTGCGACAGATTTGCCTTAAACCAGCAAATAGTAGAACCAACTAGAAAAGAGAACATGTTTGACCTCACTTTCACTAATAATGATGAATTGATCAGGAACATAATGATTACAAATACCTGTTATTCAGATCACAACTTAATTGAAGTTCTGACAAGCATGAGGATTAGACCTGCACAACCAGTCCCGAGTCCCAGGGAAGGAGAATTCAGCAAATTCAATTTTAATAATACACAGATTAACTGGGAGCAAATAAACCAAGACCTCACATAAATAAACTGGGAAGAACAGCTAGGACATGCAAACCTGAACCAGTGCCTGGAAAAAATTAACTCAGTAGCTCCAGAAATATGTTCAAACCGCATACCCCTAAGAAAAAAAAGAGGAAGAGATGCAGATTGGAACGGGAACGTCGTTCCCTATATAGGCGAATAAAATGAATCGCGGAACAACTTAAGAGTCGCACCCTTTCTCAAGAACGGCGAAGGTGGTCAGGTAGTGAAATAGAAACGATCGAACTAAAGCTACAAGAATCGTTCAAAATCCAAGAGAGGCAAAGAGAGCAAAAGGCCATCAGTGAAATAGAGAGAAATCCGAAATACTTTTTCTCCTATGCAAAATCAAGATCAAAAAACACATCTAGTATCGGGCCCCTGCGAAAGGGAGATGGAACTTTCACCGATGACAACAAAGAAATGAGCGAGTTACTGAGGAATCAGTACGACTCTGTTTTCAGCGAGCCACTAAACACACTAAAGATTGATAACCCAAATGAATTTTTCATGGATATGATACCAACATCAAATCATATATCAGACGTCACCCTATCCCCACTGGATTTTGAAGAAGCCATAAACAGTATGCCTATGCACTCTGCACCAGGCCCGGATTCCTGAAACTCTATATTCATCAAGAACTGTAAAAAAAAACCACTATCGCAGGCCCTCCACATTCTGTGGAGACAAAGCCTAGATACTGGCGTTATCCCTGACATACTAAAAACAGCAGAGATAGCACCACTCCATAAAGGAGGAAATAAGGCAGAGGCAAAAAAATACAGACCGATAGCACTAGCATCGCACATCATAAACATCTTTGAGAGAGAGTGCTAATAAATAAGATCACAAAATACATGGAATCACAGCATCTCCATAACCCCGGACAACATGGTTTCAGAATAGGGCGCTCTTGCCTGTCGCAGTTGCTGGACCACTATGACATGGCATTAGATGCTATGGAAGACAAACAAAACAATGATGTAATTTAGACAGATTTCGCAAAAATCTTTGATAAATGTGACCATGGTGTTATTGCACACAAAATGCGTCAAAAGGAATTGCCGGAAAAATAGGCAGATGGATCTACAATTTCCTGACTGACAGAACCCAATGTGTAATAGTCAACAAAATAAAATCCGGAGCATCAACCGTGAAGAGCTCAGTCCCCCAGGGTACTGTGCTTGCTCCAGTACTTTTTCTCATCCTCATATCGGACATAGACAAGAACACAACCTATAGCACTGTATCATCCTTTGCAGATGACACTAGGATCTTTATGAGTAGACAACATAGAGACACAGCAAACCTCCAATCAGATGTAAATCAGGTCTTTCAATGGGCTACAGAAAATAATATGGTATTTAATGAAAATAAGTTCCAGCTCATGCGCTACGGAAAAAATGAAAATATAAAAACAGAAACCACGTACAAAACTCAGTCAAATTATAACATTGAACGAAAAAAATGTAAAGGATTTGGGGGTACTGATGTCGGAAGACCTTATCTTTAAAGAACACAATAAAGTAGTCGTCACAACTGCAAGAAAAATGACAGGTTGGATAACAAGAACCTTTCACACTAGAGATGCTATACCGATGATGATGCTTTTCAAGACGCTAGTGCTCTCTAGAGTGGAGTACTGCTGCACAATGACAGCCCCTTTCAAAGCTGGAGAAAGTGCTGACCTGGAGAGCGTGCAGAGATCCTTTATATATTTGAACAATCTTCTCTCGTACATTACAGCAATGAAGCGCGTCAATGACTGGGCAAGTACAACTCAAACCGAACTTGCTGGCATATACCTTGCCACTGAATTTTTAAAAGACAAAGGCAGTGGACTTATATACTGTGACTCGCAGAGTGCACTCCTGGCACTGAACGCACATAGTAGTGACACCCGACCGGGAGCCGGTCGGCCGAGCGGACAGCACACTGGACTTGTGATCCTGTGGTCCTGGGTTCGATCCCGGGCGCCGGCGAGAAACAATGGGCAGAGTTTCTTTCACCCTATGCCCCTGTTACCTAGCAGTAAAATAGGTACCTGGGTGTTAGTCAGCTGTCACGGGCTGCTTCCGCGGGGACACTAAAGCTCCGAAATCATCTCAAGATAACCTCCTCTCAAGTGAAAGCCCACAAAATGATTTCAATGATAATAATTGGTAAAGTAGGACGGTGGATATAACCCAGAAAATAGTCAGTGATATTCGAATGAATGTTTTAGCTGCTAAAGAAAACAGATTTGAAATTAAATTTCTATGGATACCATCACATGTTGGCATCTCAAGGCATGACACTGTTGATATGCTTGCAAAGACAGCCTGTAGAAAACCAGTGGTAGAAATTGATATGGGTGTTTCATTAGCAGTGACAAAGAAAATACTTAAACAAATATCTAATGAAGATCTCACCGACTTAACAAATTCACAAAGACCTGAAAGTTGTAGCATTAAATATTATGATAGATATCGTGAGGAGACATTCACATATGGGACTAATAGAACAAGAACCCGGCAATGTGATGTTATAGTGGCCAGAATACGCCTGGGATATGGACGTATCTGGCAGCTTTCTCAAAACCCAAATGTCGAGTACACAATGTGTCAACTTTGTGAAAGAGAAAACATGCACTCTCTTGAACATTATATTGTAGAATGTCCCATACTGACTGACTTTCGCCCTCCTGGGCTAAGGTATGCTGAACTCTGTAAAATTACTATATGAGTACTGGAACACTTGATGATATATTGGACTTGTAGCCAAGATTGACCATGTAATGTATCGGTTATACAATGAATGTATGTGATGTAACTATATAACCTGAGCTTGTAAAAGCACCTTAATCACCTTCAGTGATTAAGTGTTTAATTGCACACTAGTTTCTCTATCAGCTATCTCACCCTGTCAGAGTAAAAGAGACAAATGTATGTGAATACATGTGTGTGTGTATATATGTATATGTATGTATGTGTGTGTATATATGTATATGTATGTATGTGTGTGTGTGTATGTATATGTATGTGTATAAAGTATATATGGAAGCTGATCAGAATTACATTTCACCTTTGTAAATGCACATTAATGACACTTATGTAAAATACACATCGAACACTTTATGTAGGGCATACGTAAATCTGTGTATCTATGTATTTACGTATGTAGGATAGCTTAGAAAGCACCGAATCACCTTCTGTGGTTGAGTGTTCAATAAACCCCTGAACTATATGTTTAACACATCTCTAACCCTGTCCATGGAGGACAGAAGAAAATGTATATATGCTGATTAGCATTGTAAATGTGTGGCCACGTTTGTGGTAGAAAATAATAATAATAATAAACTGCTTGAATCTACTCAGCAAAACATCTAAACTATTTGGGCCGACTAAAGAGCCTAAACCTGTATTCTCTTGAGCGCAGGCGGGAGAGATACATAATAATTTACTCATGGAAAATAGTAGAGGGGCTGGTCCCAAACCTGCACACAGAAATAACATCACATGAGACCAGAAGGCATGGCAGGATGTGCAGAATACCCCCGTTGAAGAGCAGAGGTGCAACAGGTACTCTGAGAGAGAACTATCAACATCAGAGGCCCGAGACTGTTCAACACGCTTCCACTACACATAAGGGGCATAACTGGCAGACCCCTCACAGTGTTCAAAAGAGAACTGGATAAGCACCTCCAAAGGATACCTGATCAACCAGGCTGTGACTCATTCGTCAGGCTGCGCGCGTTCAACAGCCTGGTTGACCAACGAGGAGGCCTGGTCGATGACCGGGCCGCGGGTACGCTAAGCCTGGAAACCAACTCAAGCTATATCTACCGGGAGGCCTGGTCGGAGACCGGGCCCCAGGGCCTTTATCCCCGGAACCTCTACAAGGTGGGTAGGTAGTCTGTCGGAGGTGCCGGGGATCCACAACTCCTGCGGTCCGGTTGTTGATCAGGAATCTTGGTTAATGACCTGATTATCAAGACTTAATTCCAGAAAATCTCTGCTTTTGAACACCGGTAGATTACCTGTTGACTTTTACGTATGTTGGGGTAGGTGTCGAGGGTGGCTAGGGAAGGGTGGGGCTCGGAGCCCAGGTCAACTTTTGCAGCCGGGGCATTTCCGGTGGGCGGGGAGGGCGTGGGGGCGGAGAGTGACTCCTGGTTCCCACAGGATAGCGCCGAGGAAATGTCTGGAGGTTGTAGCTCGACCCCCAGCTTCCTGGCGCCCGCCACCTGCCGCAGGTATCCTGCGCCCGCCACCTGCAACCTTGTCTCTTGATTACATTGCTCTTGTGGCAACACTGCTCTCGCGGTAACCCTGCTCTCGTGGTAACACTGTTATCGTGGTGACACTGTTATCGTGGTGAGTGAGAATGAGTGAGTGAGTGATTTGTGTTTTCAATGTCCCATTGCAATTTTAAGAACCATCTAGATCAGTTCTTGCAAGAAGTGCGCGACCAACCGGGCTGTAGTGGATATGTGGGCCCTCGGGCCATCATATCGCAGGGGCCTGCATGCCGCTCCAAGCAACAGCCTGTTGTAACAAGTTATCACAAGTCTGAGCCTGGACTCGGGGCCGGGCTCTGGGAGTAGAAAAACTCTCGAAACCCACTCCAGGTCACATACAGCCCCGCTCCTATGCCAAGTAACTCCACTACGGGCTCAACATAGCCCGTGCTACTTTGAACTTTTTGTTCCGAGGAGCTGAATCTAAAAGAGCGGCAACAACAACTCTGCAGGTACGCTGCAGGTAAGAGAGTGATCAGCTCTTAACACGGGTTGATGCCCTCCAGCGAGTCCGTCATTGGTGTGGGGAGCCGTACAGGTGTGGGGCCCCCACTCCAGGTGCACCTCAACACCTGGAGTCACAACTGCACTCTGCGGTACTGTGAGTGCGAGGCAACTCTCCACTTGAGACTAGCAGTCATATGCTCTGAGTCCCTCTCTACAAGGTGCCACGTTAAGGGTTTATCTTGACAAGGGTCACTCATTCAGTGCCCATAAAATAGCCCATAAAATATGAAATCAAAAGTAATAACGGGTAAAGTGGGGCGTTGGGTTTTCAACTTTCTGTCAAAGAGAATGTAGAGAGGTATAGTCAATCAAATAAGGTCAATAAGCTTTTCACAGTGAAAAGCTCTGTACCCCTGGGCACAGTCCTTGTACCGCTGCTATTTCTCCAGGCAACAACAATAGCCAATTTTTCCAAGCAACAGCCTGTTGGACTAAGTTATCACAAGTCCAGGCTGGGCTCGGGGATTAGAAGATCTCCCAGAATCCTCTCCAGGTAAACTCCAGGTATGCTCCAGGTATGATGTATGTGTGCGTCATATTGTGTGAGGATGAGTGCGTGAGAGTATCGGTGCGATAGTGAGTGCGTGAAAGTGAGGTCTTAGTGAGAGTGAGTACTGGTGAATGAATGAGTGTGAGAGCTCGTGAGTATGCTGGTGAGTGTGAATGCGTGAGTGTGAGAGAGCTGGTGAGTTTGGATTACGATAACTTTCAAGTCCAGGGATCCCATCACAATGGTCGTACTCTTCAAGTCACTTGTGTTGTCCAATCTCGAGTACTGCTCAGTACTCACTTCCCCCTTCAGAGCAGGAGAGATTGCTGAAGTAGAGGGAATACAGAGAACATATACGGCATACGGCTGGCGCCTGACAGCTGGGTGGACAGCGCTTCGGATTCGTAGTCATGAGGTTCCGGGTTCGATCCCCGGTGAAGGCAAAATGTTTGCCTCCTCTGTTTGGAGGCAAATGCAAAATGGAGACAAATGGGCAAAATGTTTCTTTCACCCGGATTCCCCTATTACCTAGCAGTAAATAGGTACCTGGGAGTTAGACAGCTGCTACGGGCTGCTTTCTGGGGGTGGAGGCCTGGTCGAGGACTGGGCAGCGGGGACGCTAAGCCCCGAAATTATCTCAAGATGACCTCAAGATACATAGATGCGATAAAGCACCTAAATTATTGGGATCGTCTCAAAGCTCTCCAAATGTACTCGCTAGAAAGAATGCGAGATATCAAATAATATACACGTGTAAAATACCGGAGGGCCAGGTCCCAAATCTACCTGCTTGATGAGGTTCTGGGAGTTCTTCTACTCCCCAAGCCCGGCCCGAGGCCAGGCTTGACTTGTGAGAGTTTGGTCCACTAGGCTGTTGCTTGCAGCGGCCCCGCAGGACCACAGTAGCCTGGTTGGTCCGGCACTCCTTGGAGAAAACTATCTAGTTTTCTCTTGAAGATGTCCACGGTTGGGCCGTCAACCGTGGACAAGCAGAATAAAACCAGTGAAGAGCAGAGGTGCCATAGGCACAATCAGAGAACACGATAAATATCAGAGGTCCGCGGTTGTTCAACGTCCTACCAGCGAGCATAAGATATATTGCCGGAAGAACCGTGGACATCTTCAAGAGGAAACTAGATAGTTTTCTTCAAGGAGTGCCGGACCAACCGGGCTGTGGTGGGCATGTGGGCCTGCGGGCCGCTCCAAGCAACTGCCTGGTGGATCAAACTCTCACAAGTCAAGCCTGGCTTCGGGCCGGGCTTGGGAAGTAGACGAACTCTCAGAACTCCATCAAGCAGGTAATCAACCAGTATCAGCCAGGTATCAAGCAGGAGTAAGTTTGGGTGCATATGAATGAGTGAGTGCGTGCATGTACTCACCTATTTGTGCTTGCGGGGATTGAACTTTGGCTCTTTGGTCTCCCCCTCTCAACTGTCAATCAACTGGGCGGAGTGTGTGTGTGTGTGTGAGTGTGTGTGTGTGTGAGTGTGTGTGTGTGTGTGTGTGTGTGAGTGTGTGAGTGTGTGAGTGTGTGAGTGTGTGAGTGTGTGAGTGTGTGAGTGTGTGTGAGTGTGTGTGAGTGTGAGTGTGAGTGTGTGTGTGAGTGTGAGTGTGTGTGTGTGTGTGAGTGTGAGTGTGAGTGTGTGTGTGTGTGAGAATGAGTGTGTGAGAGTGGTGGTCAGTATGGGCGGCACGGGTTGAGCTGCATGCGGGTGGGAGGGCGAGAGGTGACCATTGCAGTTGTGTATTGATCAGGGAGGGTCAGGCCTGGACCCTGCTGCAATATACATTACACCACAGAAATAAGACTGTTAGTGTGAGCGCCTCTACTCACCTGCGTGTGCTTATTGCGGCCTCCATTGTGTCTATCATGTGTTGATTCCCGAGAGCACTGTCTCGCGGCCCAATCTCACACCAGGTCTCCGGATTGCTGGTGTGGTCAACCAGGCTCTTAGACGCCTTGCTCGTAGTCTGACGCATGAATCACAGCCTGATTGATCCCATCACGTGCTTGTTCAAGTTCTCGTTTAAACACCATGAGAAGTCGGCTAGTTATACTTCTTATGTTTAGAGGGAGAGTGTTGAAAAGTCTTGGACCCTTGATGTCGATTGAATTGTCTGTCAGCGTACCAAAGCACCTAACTTATTTAAGCTGTCTCGGGGCACATTCTGAAAAGGTGACGAGAGAGAGACTGTCCCTGTCTGTCTGTTCGTCTATTTATCTAATTATAGAGGCCAGATGACTGGGGCTAGCCTCACCCAAATTTGCTGGGGGAATGGTCTGAGGTAAAAGACGGACATAGGCTGCTTGGAATAGGCTTAAATTAAATGCTTTAAGAAACATTATACATCTCTATACTAGTTCAGAAGGTGCGTGTGTGAGAGTGGAGTTAGTACGGTGTGTTGCAATGTTTTTGGTGAGTGGATGGCCATGTTGAAGGTGTTGTCTTAAACATTGTTGAGTTTCATTATTCGTGGCGTATCCACTGTGCACGTGGGCACTGGGACTCATGCGTGGTGGGGACTCGTGCGTGGTGGGGGACTCATGCGTGGTGGGGACTCGTGCGTGGTGGGGGACTCATGGGTGGAAGTGTAACAAACTAGGCTGTTGTAAGAATTATCCAGAGTGGTTTATCGACAAAAGAGAATGGGAAGCTGAGCCGCATGGTGACCTGACCCCCAGGGGAATTCGCGGTGGAAATAACCGACGCTTTGTTCATATCTGCGTATAATGAACCATCCTATAGTATTCAGTAATTTAGAGAAAATTAGCCTTTATTCATTTTGCATTAAAATTGTATTGTATAATAGTACTGGATACAATATCAAGAGTATTCTAATTATTGAGTTTAAGTCACCATCAGTGACGTCACGAATCAGATCTCGTGGGTGGTGGGGGACTCGTGCGTGGTGGGGACTCGTGTGTGGTGGGGGACTCGTGCGTGGTGGGGACTCGTGCTGAGATGTCTCCAGATTATGTTTATAGCCAACTCCTGAACCCCCTGTTCATAGAACTGGACCAGGGGAGTGGAAGGGGTGACAGTAGGGAGTGAGGGTGACAGTAGAGAGAGGGGGTGACAGTAGGGAGTGAGGGTGACAGTGGAGAGAGGGGGTGACAGTAGGGGGAGGGGGTGACAGTAATGAGAGGGGGTGACAGTAGGGGGAGTGGGTGACAGTAATGAGAGGGGGTGGACAGTAGGGGGAGGGTGTGACAGTAGGGGGAGTGGGTGACAGTAAGGAGAGGGGGTGACAGTATGGAGAGGGGGTGACAGTATGGAGAGGGGGTGACAGTATGGAAAGGGGGGGTGACAGTATGGAGAGGGGGTGACAGTAGGGGGAGTGGGTGACAGTAATGAGAGGGGGTGACAGTATGGAGAGGGGGTGACAGTAGGGGGAGGGGGTGACAGTAGGGGGAGGGGGTGACAGTAGGGGGAGTGGGTGACAGTACAGGGGGGGGATGACAGTAGGGGGAGTGGGGACAGTATGGAGAGGGGGTGACAGTAGGGGGAGGGGGTGACAGTAGCGGGAGGGGATGACAGTATGGAGAGGGGGTGACAGTAGGGGGAGGGGGTGACAGTATGGAGAGGGGGTGTGACAGTATGGAGAGGGGGGTGACAGTAGGGGGAGTGGGTGACAGTAATGAGACGGGGTGACAGTAGGGGGAGGGGGTGACAGTAGGGGGAGGGGGTGACAGTAGGGGGAGGGGGTGATAGTAAGGAGAGGAGAGGGGGTGACAGTATGGAGAGGGGGTGACAGTTGGGGGAGGGGGTGACAGTATGGAGAGGGGGTGACAGTAGGGGGAGGGGGGGGGGTGACAGTATGGAGAGGGGGGTGACAGTAGGGGGAGGGGGGGTAACAGTAATGAGAGGGGGTGACAGTAGGGGGAGGGGGTGACAGTAATGAGAGGGGGTGACAGTAGGGGGAGTGGGTGACAGTAATGAGAGGGGGTGACAGTAGGGTGAGGGGGGTGACAGTAGGGGGAGTGGGTGACAGTAAGGAGAGGGGGTGACAGTATGGAGAGGGGGGGTGACAGTATGGAGAGGGGGTGACAGTATGGAGAGGGGGGGTGACAGTATGGAGAGGGGGTGACAGTATGGAGAGGGGGTGACAGTAGGGGGAGTGGGTGACAGTAATGAGAGGGGGGTGACAGTATGGAGAGGGGGTGACAGTAGGGGGAGTGGGTGACAGTAATGAGAGGGGGTGACAGTATGGAGAGGGGGTGACAGTAGGAGGAGGGGGGTGACAGTAGGGGGAGGGGGGGTGACAGTATGGAGAGGGGGTGACAGTAGGGGGAGAGGGTGACAGTATGGAGAGGGGGGGTGACAGTATGGAGAGGGGGTGACAGTAGGGGGAGTGGGTGACAGTAATGAGAGGGGGTGACAGTAGGGGGAGGGGGGTGACAGTAGGGGGAGGGGGTGACAGTAGGGGGAGGGGGTGACAGTAGGGGGAGGAGTGACAGTGTAGGGGGAGGGGGGGATGATAGTAAGGAGAGGGGGGGTGACAGTATGGAGAGGGGGTGACAGTAGGGGGAGGGGGTGACAGTATGGAGTGGGGGTGACAGTAGGGGGAGGGGGTGACAGTAATGAGTGGGGGTGACAGTAGGGAGAGGGAGGTGACAGGTAGGGAAAGAAAGAAGGCAAGGATACTGACCAGTATATATATAAAAGGGGGGTGGGGGGTTATAAGTAGGTGGGGGGAAAATAGCATGAGGGAGAAATGAGAGGGGGGAGGAGGTGGGGGGGGGACAGGCAGCTGTAGCCAGACAACAAAGACTGCTCCTACACCCAACTTATCTCCCCCCCCCCCACCTCTCCCTCCCCCTTAACCCCCCCCCCCCCTCTCGAGCCCCGGGCCACGCGGCTACCCCTTGACACACCAGGGGTGTACCAGGGGTATACCTGCAAGCTGTCACACACAGTGGTTCTTCCCTTCTGAACCACCACCTAGGCCACTACAGTGGGTCTCTGTAAACTCACAAGACTGTGTGTGCAGGAACATTATTGACGTAATCAAAACGTGTAACAAAAGGTGTTATCTGGGCACCGGTCACTTCACGTGGCGGCTCTTGACAGTAACTGTGAGCTGGTGGTGTACTGTGAAGCTCACTACACTCACCTGACGGGCACGGCACAGGTAATGTTGGTCATCATGATTAACATCTTTATTTACCAATTTAATATACAATGTTGCCTAATGTGAGTAATTCACTTTGGTGTTATTACAGTGAGGTGCTGCTCGTATTGTCTGACACACAGGACATACAGATATACACAAGACAATTGACCTAAATTGTACTTCATCAGGTGTTATACACTTTTCAATTTACGAGTATGAAATGTAACTGGCACAAGTCAGTGAAGGATTCTTGAGAGATGCACTTGTATGAAAAAGGTGTTCGTTATTTAATATGGTTAAGCAAATTTAAGGGTAAATGGTCAGTATGTTTTCCAGTTTACCGTAGTGATTGAATAGGTGCAGTAAATAGGTGGGTGGGAGTTAGGGGCTTGTTGTGGGTTGCATCGTGGGGGGAGCGTACACACGGGGGGGGGGGGGCTTTTTGAGAGCGTGGGATTAAATTGGGGATAATTTTAGAAAAAGTTGTCTTGGGTGACTATGGAGAAACATGCCTTAATGCATTCCTTAGGAAGTGTGTTAAAGCGACCAATAATTGTGCATGTGTATGAGTCGTCGCCAAGTTAATAGTGCAGGCTTTAGAGGGATGTGTCATGTTCCCCCTCGAACGCTGAAAGAGACTGGGTAGTTATTCCTCTTGTACGTGTTGACAGGTCTTGTGTCCTTGATGTTATTGAACCAGTCCGTCCTCCTAAGGTATCCCAACGTCAAGAAAACGGTCAATGTAAAGTGCCCTCTCCTAACCTACCAGAGGACCCAAAACAGAAAACGGGACAGTACGTCACTTTCGCCAGCCGCTTCCATTGTCTAGTACAACCATTTTTGGTCTTATGTAACGCATACGAGCGAAAAGCCACGTTCTTTGTAAGAGGACAGGTTGGTTGACCTGCCCAGTTTTATATATATTGCAACCAACTTTTTAGTGGTGTTATTTTGCGCATTCTGTCATGCCTCCTCGTCTCGTAAGGACATAACACTACAGGAAACTTGTTCCATTCGAAGCAGCTCCTATTTATTTCCACCCAAACTCATTCATGTTTATCGTTTATGTTGCACCTACTCTTGAAACAGTACAGTCATCCCTCGTCTATCGTGTTACCCGGTAAATTGTGCCATTAATCAACAATCCTGTTTTTATTAAACCAGCATTCACCCAGGTTTATCCTGAATCTAAATTTCTCCAGTTTATATCCATTGTTTAGAGTTCTATTTTGTGTTGATATATTTAAAACTTTATTTATATTCCCTTTGTTACACTTTTTTATCCATAAATATATAAGGAGATATAAATAGAGTAAGGAATTATTTCCGTGTACAAATTTACAACCAGTGCCTCTAATATTTGCCAGGTGTACACTACTATGTATCTCCCTAAGAGATATAAAACTCAGTCAAATCATAACATAGAACGAAAAGGCAATGTAAAGGATCTGGGTGTACTCATGTCGGAAGACCTTACCTTTAAAGAACACAATAAAGTAGCCGTCACAACTGCAAGAAAAATGACAGGTTGGATAACAAGAACTTTTCACACTAGAGATGCCTATACCGATGATGATACTTTTCAAAACGCTTGTGCTCTCTAGAGTGGGACAGTACTGCTGCACAATGACAGCCCCTTTCAAAGCTGGAGAAATTGCTGACCTAGAGAGCGTGCAGAGATCCTTTACTGCTAGAATCCACTCAGTAAAACATCTAAACTACTGGGACCGACTAAAGAGCCTAAA